GGAGTGATGCCATGTAGGTCAGTCTATGTGAGTCAGTTCGTTATCAGACTTCCGCTGCATAAATGCTCATCCTATATTGGTTGATCTTTGGTTCTGCCCATACTCATTGAAGTATGTAACATGCAGGGAGCTTCTAAGCTCTGCTTGGATCTCTTGGGGCTCTACGGGACAGCCACAGGGGACTATAATATTGTCTGCCCCTGTCCTGGGATCAGCGGTGATGTCCTGTAATGTGAGCACACAAGTCGGGCGAACTATAGAAGGGAACAGTGCTCTGGGGGTGAAGTGCAGGTAAGGGCAGTTCAAGGTGGCACTGCACAAATAGTTGCTGGGCTAGTGCTTAGCAGCCGGCTGTACAGTCAAGCTGACACCAGAGCCGTGGGGGATCACTTGAATGGGAACAATGTCACGGGTCTCACTGATGGAACAAAATCAATCCTTCTGCAGGAAAGGTCAGATACGTATCTATGCAAAGCATCAGGGACCTCGGCATGCTGGAAACAGGCCCGAGCCCGCCCTAAGTGAAGGCGGGCCTGCGGAAATTCTTTGCGGCCTATTTTGAAGCCAATGTGAGCAGAGAGCGGCCCCGTGGGCTGGTTGCTGCAGGCATCTCCAATCAACCAGTACCTCGGTTGGTTGAAGATGCTGGGGCCCAGGGAAGATGCTGAGGCCCAGGGCACTTACAGTTGAGCCCCAGGCACATTTTGGAAGGGCCCTGGGCGCAGCAACTGGGACAGGGCGTCACACGTCCAGCTAGGTCGCAAGCCTCGCAGCCAGCACAAAAGGAAGTGAGGCCTTCTCACTTCACACATTCTGGCTGACCGGATGGCAGCAGTGCTGCTGGAGCACTCACTTGCTGTACGAGAGCCGGGCCAGAGGGCGGAGGGCACTGGCGGGGCGCACGAGGAAGATGATGTGAGGACACAGCAGGCAGAGCACAGCACCCATGGCCGGGCTGCTGGCACCACAGCCAGAGGAGGAAGGCATCCGTCCTTGGGTGTAGCGACTGTGGACGAAGACAGGGAGCAGGGGCGATGTGCTGAGGCACGTACCTGGCGAAGAAGCAGCAGGCCGTTTCACTCAGAGTCTTCTTTTGTCATTGGGCAAATGTTCTGGCATTACAGACCTGTTGTAGCTAGGAGTCTATAGGTTGATAGGAACATTCCTGATTGTAGTCTGGGCACCGAGCGCCAAGATAGGAGAGCAACATTGTTGACATCGGTGTTGGGGGCGAGAAGAGGGATTTCATTACCAAGTGACTTCAATGCTTTGCTCATACTTATTATTTGGTGTTATCGCGTGTCGTAATCTGCTCTCAGTTCGGGCTCAAAGTTATCTGGATTTCTATGGAATGCTTCAATTTGGGTTATTCACTTTCTTGTCATTCGCATTGCTCATTTCCTTGCATGTATCAGTAATCTGGCGAGTTAATTACAACAATACATCGTCTGTATACACAATCATATAGGACTTCTTGCTGGCGATCGCAAGAGCGTTTTCCTTCAGCCTAGAAGCCTTCCTCACTAGAAGCCTGGAACAGCGAAGCAAGTGGAACAGAGAGCCGTATGATAGGTGACTATCTCATAGGGTTTGGAGAGGACAAGTACTGCTGGCATTGCTCAGTGGGCAAGTTTCACTCTCTTGAATATACAAAGAATCGAAGGTAGTAGTATTTTACTCATGTTATGGAATGAGAAGGATACAATAATATTAAGGTCTACCCACTTATTGAAAAAAAAACAAAAAACATACAGATGTCAATCCATTCACGGAGGAGGACTGAGGCCCAGATGTACGGATCCATGACTACTTAGTCCTGACTACCATCCATGTGATGCATGGTAATTTGGTAAACTATTCCCACGCAGATAAAAAAATAATAATTTACAAAAACATTGATCACCAGTACTTCAGAGCCTCTTTTTTTTTCCCGATACAGATTTCTGCTGCACCCCAATTAAAAACAAAGCAGCGCGGGGACTTTTTTTTTTTTTTGCCTGGCACCTCTACCGCCTTCACCCGAATAGAACGCTCGGTCATTATAGCTGTATTTGATGCAACTTTCAGTCCAGATACGGCCATAATTACCGGGCGTTCTATTCGGGTGAAGACGGTAGTCATTTCGGGTCTTGTATGCCGAGATCCGAAGGACATCATGCATTTACGGCCGTGTCAGAACAAAAAAATGGTTGCGGACAGTACTGGTGGTTTAGTTACATATAATATAGAGAATTGAGAGTGGAGCAAGCAACAGGTGAGCAGCAGGGCTTCTAAAGGGGACACAGCGACGGTTTGCTTGTTCAGCCAATGTAAAACTGTCCTTATCAAAACAGAGTGAGTCAGGAAAACACTTCCAACAGTAGACTCGAGGTGTCTTGCCAAAGCAACAAAAGGAAACCGAAAGAAACCATAAAAAGGTCCTCACCATAAAAATGGGCGTACGCAGCAAAGAAAGTTCCAAGACCACAGCCATAGAGCCAAAGGAGAAAGCATCCCGGAAACTTAAGATGTGCCTTCTGCGCATAGCAAAAGGCAGACACAACCAGAGAGCCACAGAGGAAAGGTATTTGCAACCACAGAGGAGAGTCAATAATCAATTTCAGGACAGCCTACTGGCCCTACTCTGTTGGACAGACTTCAGTTGTTTTTATGCCACCTTATGCATCCTCACAAATCACTGCAGGAAATTATGTGTGGTTGCCCGCGAAAGCTTCACCCGTGGCAAGGATGAGAGGTGTGAAGACGGGGAAAATGGGATCCCCCTCTCTTCAGAGTCTCCACATATAAAACGGAATAAAAAAAGCAAAAGAAAACTTTAAAAAGAAAAAACAGAGACCTCCCAAGGCACATTCCGTAGGTTGGGTGTTCCATGGCAAGGGTGGGCGGAGGGGAGGAAGGGGACCCCTCTCTCTCTACAGAAGAAAACGGAAAAAAAAACGAAAAAGAAAACACCAACAGAAAGCTTTTAAGACACTCTCCCCGCCCCCCTCTCCCAAGAAAATGAAAATCAAAGCTGCGTACGGATCCGGGCTGCCCGGCCGGCCGGCGCCTGCCCGGGGGAGGTCCCGGGCGGCCTGGTGGGGCGGGCGGCCCGGTTGGGGGCCGGGCCCCCCCAGCACACCTTGTTGGCGGGGGGTTTCCGACCCCGAATCGGTGAGATTTCGCCTCCCCAGGGCCTACCGGGTCCGACCACGCCGAGAAAACGGCGCGTCGAGCCCGTGAGGCCTGTTTTTTTTTTTTTTAATTTGGGACGGCCCTCTGGCCGTCGATCATCCATGATCGACGGCCAGAGGGCCGTTCGTTTTTGGAGGGAAAACGGAGGCCCGGTTTGAACAGGCAACTGGCTGGGGCGGCCTGCATTGGCTGTCCAAACGGGGCCTCGATACCTGCTCCAGCCGCCTGCGTTCGTCGTCGAGTCGCCCGTCGTCGAAGTAGCTGCCCCTCGTCGCCATCGCCTGGGAGCTTCACTCGCCCATCGTCGTCGAGTCGCCCGTCGCCCGTCGCCAGCGTTGTCGATCGCGGTGCTCCTGCCTGCCGACAACCCCTGCCGCCCATCGACGTGGAGTGCCGGTCTGTTCTTCTTCTTCTTCTTCTTCTTCTTCTTCTTCTTCTTCTTCTTCCCTCCTCCTCCTCCTCCTCCGCTCATTCTTCTGCTTCTTCTTCTCTTCTCCTCCTCCTCCCCCTCTCATCTTCTTCTTCTTCTTCTTCTTCTTCTTCTTCTTCTTCTTCTTCATCTCTCGTCGTCGTCCTCCCCCTCATCTTCTTCTTCTTATTCTTCTCTCCTCCTCCTCCTCTTCCGACTACCTTCTTTTTCTTCTTCTTTTTTGCATTCGTTAGCAATAGGTTGCGAGATAAACGACAGGTAAAAAAAAACTGCTCCGCTCGTCATCTTCTTCTTCTTCTTCTTCTTGTAGGACCGCCGCCACAGCCCGCCGCCATACCCCGCCACCATACCATACCGCCCTGCCGCCGCCGCCATCTTCTTCTTCTTCTTCTTCTTCTTCNTCTTCTTCTTCTTCTTCTTCTTCTTCTTCTTCTTCTTCTTCTTCTTCTTCTTCTTCGTCTTCTTCTTCTTGTAGGACCGCCGCCACAGCCCGCCGCCATACCCCGCTACCACACCATACCGCCCTGCCGCCGCCGCCATCTTGTCCATCGTTTGGTAGGTCGCCTTAGACGCGGCAGGTTAAAAAAAAAAAAAAAATTCCTCCTTCCCCCTACTCTCCTCATCTTCTTCTTCTGTTACTTCTTGTACTTCTCTCCTCCTCCGGCACCCCCTCATCTTCCATAGCATGCCTCCCTCCCTCTTTCGCCATCTCGCCATCCCTCCCTCCCTCCCATCTCGCCATAGTCCGTCCCATCTCCACATCTCGCCATACTCCCTCCCTCCCTCGCCATCTCGCCATCCCTCCCTCCCTCCTGTCTCACCTAGTCCCTCCCATCTCGCCATCTCGCCATAGTCCCTCCGTCCCTCCCTCGCCATCTCGCCATAGTCCCTCCGTCCCTCCCTTCCATCTCGCCATCCCTCCCTCCCTCCCTCGATCCATCCATCCATCTTATTCTTTTTCTCTTTCTTTCTTCTTGGGCATTGTTAAGCAGTCTCCCTCCATCCCTCCATCCCTCCATCTTCTTCTTCTTCTGTTTTGTTTATCTTCGTCAACATTGTCAGTCAGTCTCCCTCCCATGTCGCCATCCCTCAACAAACCCCAAACCTCCTCCATCTATCCATCCATCTATTCATCCATCTTCTTCTTCTTCTTCAAAGTTACTAAACAGTCTGCCTCCATCCCTCCATCACTCCATCCACTCATCTCGCCATCCATCCCTACCTATCTCCATCCTTCCATCCATCTTTTGCTTCCTCTTCTTTTTTTTTTAACTTCTTCGACATTGTAAAGCATCTCCCTCCATCGTACTATCTCGTCATCCATCCTTCTTCTTCTTCTTCTTCTTCTTCTTCTTCTTCTTCTTCTTCTTCTTCTTCTTCTTCTTCTTCGACATTGTAAAGCAGTCTCCCTTCGTCTGTCCATCCTACCATTTTATCAGTTGTTTATTGGAAGCGGAGGAGGTGGTTGCAACAGCATGGCCAGCGGGAGCAGGGCAGGGGGTGCGGCTGGTGGAGAAGGAAGCCGGAGGCAGTCGGAAAGAGGAGGGGGTAGAGGGAAGGACATTGCGAGCTCAAGTGCACCTTCGTCGGGGGTGGTTGACAAAGTCCCGACGTCGGGTACGAACCCATCCTTGTTCGTCCCACAGCCGAAGGAAAGGCAAACGAAGTTGCAGGGCGAGAAGGAGGTGTGGAAGCATGTGGAGCAAGGTCAGGAGGCTGCGCTGAAGGGGCGGGGAGAGTATTGGTTGTGGTGTCGGCTACGCTCGACCGTTTACAGGGGCAAGAGCACAAGAGCCGTTGAGCATTTCCTCAGGGCAGGCAAGATATTGCACAAGCTGGTGGCCCAAGGCGCGAAGCTGCTGCCGAAGGACAAGAAGACACAATACCTTCTGCAAAATTACCGGCAGCTTCACAACATTTCAGCGGGGGGGGCTGCTATCACCGAAGACGATGAGAGTGGGGTTGTACCTCGCGGTTACGAGGAGCCACAACCGCTGGTTGCTGCTGGGAGGGAGGCAGTGGAGGAGGTGGTGCAGCAAGGAAAAGAAACTGCAGCGGTAGAGGCGGCGGGAGAAGATGGTGATTCCACCGCAAGCGTGGCTTCACTACAGCAAACGACCATCAAGAGATGGGTCGACAACGAGGCGCAGAAGAAGTTGGACGTTGAGTGGGCGGAGGCAATGTTCAGAGTCGGAATTGCATTCCATTTCCTGGAGTTTGACACCACCCGGCAGCTGCACGACGTGTAGCTCGAGGTGGCGAACGCCAAACCGAAGGTGAAGTTGCCGTCTTCGAAGCACATTCGGACTGTCATGCTCGAGTTTATTTTCATGCGCATTCAAAAGCAAGTGGAGCCTTTGACAAAATATTGGGATGTCACCGACTGCACTTTCATCACAGACGGGTCTAACGATCGGAGGGAGTGGCCTGTCATGAACTTCTTAGCGGCGGGGGAGCAGGGAGCTGTTTTAGTGGCGACGGTGTACATGGACGACAAGAAGAAGACGAGAGAAGCGTTGGCGAAACTATGGGAGAAAATAATGAGGGAGATCGGGCTGCATCGCATCAATGCGATTTGCGCTGACAATGCGGAGGTGAACAAGAGAGCAGCTCAAATTTTGGAACGACGCACGGACCCTGCGGTTTCAAGACCTTGGGTTCCCTGCGCTGCACACTGCCGCAGCTTGCTGCTAAGGGACATCAGCAAGTTGGATTGGGTGAAGGGCACGGTGAAGCGGGGCCACACCATCGTCAAGTTTATCAGGAATCACCACACAACTAACAGTTTCATGATGAGTTTGGACTCATCATTGATGCTGTTGCGACCGACTGAGGTCCGTTTCGGTTCGGTGTACCGGATGCTGGAACGGGTACACAACCGGAGGGCAGTTTTGAAGAACATGGTGAACGCGAGGAATGCGGGGAAATGGAAGGCGATGTGGTGGTCGAGCGCGAAGCTGCAAGCGACAGCGGATCTCATGTACTTCACACTGCGGAGGGATGCTCGGTGGACGGAGCTAAGGAAGGTGGTGGAGATGATGGATCCGTTGTATCTCCTACTGCGGAGGATGGACAAGGACGGGACTACACCGTCAAACCTTGTGGAGTACGACCGACTCATGGAGAGGATGTTGGCGGAGGTTGTGCTCACACCGGAGCAATGAAGTTCTGTGCTACAGAAGGTGAGGGACCGCATGAAGATGATGCGGCAACCGGTGCACGCGCTGGCTTTTCTTCTCGACCCGCGGAGGAGAGACCCGAAGTGGTTGCTGCACCGGAACAGCACACTTGTGCAGAACGCGCTGCGTTATTTGCAGAAGCAAATTGGCGGACCTTGGAAGTCCAAGGCGCACGTGGATATATTGAGCGACCTGCGCGAGTTTCACAAGCAACCCACCGCATACGACCTCAAGCGGAAATACACGAAGATGTGGGATGAGGATGCGGTCACGGATACTGATTGCATCTCGCCGTCGGAGTGGTGGGCAACACATGGTGACGATGTGTCGACGTTGCAGGCCAATGCTATCAAAGTGATGGGCATGTGGAGCACTGCAACTCCGGCGGAGCGTAATTGGGCCTCGATGGACTTGGTGCACTCCAAGCGACGGAATCGGTTGAAGCCCGCGACCGTGGAGAAGCTTGTGTACATTCATTGGAATATGAATCTGTTGCGGGCGAGCAAGAGCTTAAAGGACCATCACTACGTCGATTTGTGGGCGAAGTTCTTCGAGTCTCTTCCGGATGTGGAGGAGGGCGATGATCCTCTTTTGGAGGAGCCCGAGGAGGAGAAGGGGAAAACGGAGGAGGAACAGGCGCGGGAACGGGCCTTAACCAAGTTACCAAAGGGCCGGATTCCTAACAACCTCGAAGAAGATGAAGAGGTGCACACGGACGACGGCGACTTGGACGACGATATATGGAAGGGAAAGGCTCCATGGTCTGAAACGTCTAGCGAAGGGGAGGCAGAAGACTCGTCCGACGATGATTTTGAGCTGGGAGCGCGACCCTCAATCTCGGGCACCACATATGTTGGGAGGAGGCCAACAACGCAGCACCGTCGAGAACGCCCGCCCACAACGCCATCTCAACGGACGGCGAATACAAGTGCACAGTACGACATCCAATCCGATGTTGAGCTACCGCAGATGGACACCGACATTGACATGGTGCTTCCCCCCGGTCCAATCGACGTGGATGAGGCGGAGGCCGATCGTGCGAAGGCAATGGCTGATGCGGATCGCGAACTGGTGCAAAGGAGAATGAGAGAGAAGGAGGAGCGGCGAGCAGCTATACCAACCCGTAGAGAAATGGAGAAACAAAAGAAGAAGGTTGGAGAGCATGAACCGGAGCCTGTGCTGGAGATGGGGCAGCAAGAGGAGGAGGAAGAGGAGATGGGCCAGCAAGACGAGGAGGAAGAACACGAGATGGCCCACCAGGCGCAGGAAGAAGAAGAGATGGAGGACGAAGTAGAAGAGGCTTGCATGGAGCGGTGAGAGGAGGAGATGGAACAAGACGAAGGGAAGGGCACAAACCAGCAAGAAGAGGGGTTGGAGGACCAACATGCGGAACGGGTGGGAGAGAGCAAGAAGGAGCAGCAGCATGACGAGATGGCGAACAGCGAGGAGGAGCCGCAACAGCAGCAGCATGCACCGACGACCATGTACAAGCGTCAGAAGAAAACAGCGAAGCCTGCCGGGTCACCGGGGAATTCCCCCGAATTCCCAGACAACGCAGAGGGAAGCCAACACGACAACCTGTGGGACAGTAGGGTTGGGAGGAAGAGGAAGCCGCCCCCTGTCGACGATGTGCCGAGGCCGAAACTTCCACGTGGCAGGCCTCAGAAGAACCCGACTGCCGGTCCGGCTACGAAGCCGAAAAAAAAAAAACAGCAGGGCAAGCATCGCAAAAAGATTGTCGAGGATGACCCCGATTCCGACATCTGCAGCGAGCAGTTCGTCGAAGACAAGGGTTACACTGATGACTGACATTAGCGCGCGCGCGCGTGCGTGTGTGTGTGTGTGTGTGTGTGTGTGTGTGTGTGTGTGTGTGTGTGTGTGTGTAAGTGTGTAACCCGCATAATAAGACATGATTACAGTATGATACGGAAACCGCATCATACTCAAGCTCCAAATAATCTATCGGCGCACCTTAAGAATGAAAACTTGTAGGCGTGGTGCAGACACATCCGGTACTCGGAGGTGGGGAATGACTATGCCGGACTGCACGAGCAAGCTCAGGCACAAGAACTTGTAGGCGTGGTGCAGACAGAACGAACTGGAACACACACAATCAAACAAACACCACAGGACGGGGAAAGGAAGCACAACAAGGCAAAAGGCAAGGAGGCAACGACAACAAACTGCAGAAAGGCACACGGACAGGGGGCCACGGGGGAGTGGGAGGGCAGACCATACATAACTGCACAAAACAAGGAAAGACAAAAGAAAAGTGCAAGTACACAAAGATACCCCAAGCATAAGACATCAGGCAGCATCAAAGGACAATGGGTGGAAGGCACGGGGGAGGCGGGAGGGCAGACGTCACTCAAACACAGAAAGCAGGCAAAGCAAAAAAAATACAAGTCCCCAAAAACAGCGAAGACCGAAAAAAATAAAAACAAAAATTAAAAACCGATGATGACAAGATTGTTTCGTCGGAGTTGCACCGACTCATCACGAGGCTGAACTCTCGACAATCTGCGGAATCCCCGTATTTGATGGTTTGGGTCATGAACCCTTTGACCCTTGTTGAAGGCAGACTGTCCCCAAGCGGAACATAGCAGCGGGCAGCAACCCTGCGGAGCACCAGGCAGCACAGTAGAGGCAACACGACTGCACAACGCCAAAAACGACTGCAACGAACGACACGGCACGCCAAACTCGCAGCAGGGCACCCAAGCAGTGAAGCACCAAGCAACACTACCAAGACAACCACACTGCAAGGGACAAGAGGGCAAGCGAACCAGCAGCAGAGCAACCATGCTGAGGGGCACAAGGCAACCCCAACACGGCAACCAAACTACAGGGCGCTTAAGCAAAGAACACGGAAGGCACGACCAGCGGGCGGGCGGCAAGGCAGCGAAGCGCAAGGCAACACCACAACCCGGCCACACCACACAGCGAAGACAGCAGCATGCCAAGAACGACCTGCGAGGCAAGCAGAACAGGCAGCAAGGCAGTGGTAGAGTGCAGACGGGGTCGTCCACACATCCAACACGGAGCAAAGCAGCACATCACCTACTCACATCACGGGTGAGCCCCACAGACTGTTGGTTCCCACCACCCACTGAGCCAGGGAAACACTCCGCCGAGCATCCGTCATCACCTACAGGCAACACAGACATCCCGAACCGAGCGGCCCCCCTAAGAGTGCAGTTGGCACTCCAAACGAGGAACCACCGACTGTTTGGCACTACTTAAGGGTGCTCGGTTGGGCACACAAAGAAAATACTTAGAAAAAATCAGAGGGAGGACAGACAACAGGAAAAAGACTGAAAACATAAAACTGAGTGTGTGTGTGTGTGTGTGTGTGTGTGTGTGTGTGTGTGTGTG